TGGGATGTGCCCTCCTCGCCCCGTGGAAGGGTCCTGTGGGATGTGCCCTCCTCGCCCCGTGGAAGGGTCCTGTGGGATGTGGGCCCCTCGCCCCGTGGAAGGGTCCTGTGGGATGTGCCCTCCTCGCCCCGTGGACGGGTCCTGTGGGATGTGGGCCCCTTGCCCCGAGAATGGGTCCTGGCGGGATGTGCCCCCCTCGCCCCGTGGAAGGGGCCTGTGGGATGTGGCCCCCTCGCCCCGTGGAAGGGTCTGGCGGGATGTGCGGGCCTGGTTTACACTCTGAAGCTGCAGGCGGCTCTGGGGGAAGTGGTGGGGAAGTGGAGGAGCAGGCAGGAGGGAGTGGGCCGGGTGGAGAGGGTGGACAGACGTCGGTGAAGGGCTGAAATCCCTCTGTGGTCATTCTGTAGCCTCTCCCATCCCCTTGGGAGAGCATGCTGCCCCCAGAGCGTGGGCCTGCCTGTGCGCCTGGGCTGGGGCAGGGGCAGGGAGGAGCCGGGAGTGGGTGGGAGCACCGCCGGCCACCACTGTCTCTTACCCGGAGAGGCACAGCTGGATGGGTGCATGCTGACGGGGCAGAAGGACTGGGCTGAGCGCTCAGGGACACGTGCGTCCTCACCTGCCCTCAGCTGCAAGCACCGCTCATCAGAGCCTAGCGCAGGCGGCTCCTGGCCACCTTTAGGATAGCTGAGCCGTGCTGTCCTCTGTCTGGCTGCCCGCATGTGGCCGGGCAGTTCTGCGGGGGCTTCCAGGCAGAGGTTGGGAGCCTGGACGTGCCCACCGCACAGAAACAGCAAGCAGAGGCTCGGCGGCGAGAGGCTGTGTGTCCTGGACAACGTCGCTTCATTGTAACTGATGAGGGGCCACAGGAACCGATGGTAAAATCAGTTTCATTGTACGTTGTTTCGCTTAAAGCCGCAGATGTCATCCCGGACATTAAGTGAGGACTTCCTGTACCAAAGGAAGCCGCGGGCCTGAGCAGGCCGGCCTGGCCCGGGGGCAGCCTGGGGCAGCGGCGTGGCAAGGGCAGCGGTCTGAGCCGGGGTGGCAGGACAGCAGACCTGGACTGGATGGTGGCCTCACCCTCCTGCTGTGGCCAGGGCACTGCTTGGGCCCCATGTCACCCCGCCATTGGAGGGATGAGAGGGCCCAGGGACAGCGCTCGCCCAGCAAGCAGTGGCTGGACACTGCCATTTGTTGTCATTGCAATGGTGGTCGTTGCCTGTATGTCCGTCACTTTCCAGAAATGGCTGCCTCAGCAGCCCCAGACCCCAGAGCCCCAGGGGCCCATGGTTTCCTGGGCACCAGTTCTCTGGTTCTTTGGGAGCCTCCTCCTGGGGTCCTGCCTCCTCTGCACCCCCAATGATGGACTGCAGGCGGTACCAGGCGCCGATCCCTGCGCTCTCCTGCTGACAGAGCTGCTGGGAGGGTGCTGCCTGGCTTAAATCATAGATTAAAGTAATGCCAGCGAATGGATGGCATGAGCCGCTGCTTCCTCCAGTGCCGTTGCGGGCAGGGCCGCTGTGAAGTGCAGGCAGCGAGGGTGCCGCCGGCCGAGCAGATCAGGGGCGAGGAGCTGGTGCCCAGTGGAAGGGGCATTTGTGCTCAGATGCACTGGGCCAGGATTGAGCCCCTGGCGAGCACGTGCGGTGGGTTCTGAGAGAGACCTGAGCCTACCTCGCAGGGCGCGGGCGTGGCAGACTTGCGATGCCAAGCTGCGGGGCTGTGCTAACGGGCTAGGCACTTGGCAGCAGTTTTTGTGTTCCTTGTTACATTAGATACATTATTTTATTGTTATTACAAAAGCATACATTTGGCCTGGAAACCATTTACTCATTTGTTCCCATGCACATGCCCCCCACCCCGGGTTTGGTGGACATGGCACAGGCGTGCTGGTGGCGGGGGTCGTTGCGGAGAGGCCGCAGGGTGCTGTCCGCCCGCAGCCTGCACATGCCCGCTCGCTGACCCTCGTGCTCACTGGAGGGAGGGCGCCGTCCCCTGGCGGAGGGCGGCTGCAGCTCCAGGTGACCTCAGAGCATCTGAATGGACAGAGAAAGCAGCGACCGCAGAGGTCACCGTGTTGGCATGGAAACGAAGCCTGTCCTCTGCTCCTGAGAGCAGGTTCCCTGTTCATGTAGGATATGGATCGATTAGCATACGTGTTGGGTGCATATCTGGTTTATTATGGAAGAGTGTGTGTGTGTGTGTGTGTGTGTGTGTGAGAGAGAGAGAGAGAGAGAGATTGGTATAGATGAGGGTCTCCGCGGCTGAGGGGGTAAAACTGAGACCAGCACCCTAACTGCAGACACGGCATTAGTTCTGTGATGGGAACGGGGCCCGGCAGAGCTGGAGCCTGGCCCTACGCCTCCCAGCTGCGTGTCCCCTGCGTGGTGCAGCCGGCAGA